AGAGCTCTAGCTTCTTCTTTGTCTTGGAGCCCAAGAGAACAGAAGAAAGAAACATCATAAGTACAAACGAATAATATCAATTTCTCCAGGCCACGTCACAATGAAAAAACAGATGATCAGCTCTGAAACACATAACAAATCTCAGGGGATAAAGCATGATTTGGTTGGCGAGCTTGGACTGAATAGTAGTATTTAGCTTGCTGCTTGCTCAAAACCCTAACCCAAACTCACTCCTTAACCTTATAGCGAACCACATCCTTCCAAACATTCATTGAAGATACAATTATGAGAAATAGCATTGTGAATCAAAAAAGCAAAGCAAGATTTGCAAGTATAATGCCTGGGATTCCAAATAGCAAATCCTACATTTAGGGTTATGAAAAAACAATAAAACAAATAGTCAAATTAAAGAAGTCATATGATCAAATTTTCAATTACTGAGGTTTCTTAATAAAGACAAGTTCCAAGAATGGATCTGGAGATTCTGGACTGATGAAGACAGCTTATGGAAGAATGTTATTGAAGCTAAATGGGGCAAGTGTACCAGTGACGGAATTACAGACAGCTACTGCACTGACAGAAAACATGGCATGGGGTTTTTTGGAAAAGTACTTTGCTCCATCAAGGCGAGGTTGTTGCTTGCACTAAATGGCAAATGGGTTGTGGTAACAGAATTAGCTTCTGGAACAATATTTGGTGTGGCCCCATCAGTTTAAGGACCCAATTTCCTGAGATTTATGCTCTCGCTCAGAATAAACACATTTCTGTTATGGATGCGTGCCAAGATGGATTCTGGTCTGTAATTGTTTCCAGACACCTTCATGATTGGGAAATTGGGGATCATATTGATTTGTTACAGCTTATTGATACTGTCAAGCTCAACAGTAACCCCAACAAGCTAACCTGGAAGCTAAAGAAAAATGGTTCATTTTCCGTTAAATCCTTCGACAACCATCTGGTAAGGGAAAGCAGGTTGAACCAGGAGATTTTCCCGACTCATATCTCCTTTTTTGCTTGGAAGGCGGCTAGAGAGAACGTATCCTGACAGTGGATAATCGGATGAAACATGGTATAACCCTGCTGAACAGATGTTTTCTCTGCAAGCAGAACGCCAAATCATGTAACCACCTCCTGATTGAATGTCCTTTCACCTTCGGTCTCTGGTCCTCTGTTTATGGTCTTCTCAGCATCAGTTGGGTAATGGCGGGAACCGTTAGATCTAAACTATTAGCTTGGGAGGGGCTGAGAAATGATCATGGCGTCTCGCGTCTCATTCGATTATCCATTTGCAGATTATTTGGAAAGAAGGAAACAATAGGGCTTTTATGAGTAAAGAACTGTTAATCAAAATTAAAGATAGATGGATTCACTTTTTTAGTTCTATGGTTTTGGAACATGATTTTTATAGTTCTGAAGATTTTGCGATTTTTGTAAATATACTTACCGACCACTTGTAAATTTTTTGTATACAGGCGGCAACCCCTCGGTGCCTCATTAACATATTTCTCACTCTTTTTATCCCAAAAAAAAAATTCCAAGAATGGGAACCATTAGAATGATCCAAAAAAGAGGAAATGATAGCATGTTGGTCTCAGGACAGATTATAGGGTTGAGGAAAACGAGTTGCTGACGTAATATTTTCACACCAAGGGTGGGTCCTAACATATTTTCAGTCTGAGCAAGTTAAAAAAGAAGCATCAAAGCTGGCAATAGCTTTGTACGGGCTCCTTTATGTCCTTGAATTATTAATTTTGGGATCCAAACCTTTCTGATGTCAAGCAAACTTGCTATTAATTATTCTATACAAAGAGATAGAGTTCAGAAGAAACTTCCATAACCACTTAGACGAAAGAGACAAATTTTTACAATAAAGATTCCCAGTACTAAGACCCCTATCAGACTTGGGCAAAAAGCATCTCCCCAACAAAGCAATCTTTGAAGGACTCAATCAACCCCGACCAAAGGAAATTCCTCATCACTCCTCGTTTTTCTCAGCTGCACTGCTAGATCTTCTAAGAGACAAAGACGGTCAAGTGGAACCCTAGACAACAAGACTAGAAAAAAGTGCTGTAACAACCCAAAAATGGAGACATATTATCAGTCCTATTTAAAAACACCCTGCTATCTTACTTTTAAATATAAAAAATCAATCACTTTAATATGAGAAATCAAAATATCATGAAAAACATTGCATGTTTTATAAAGCAAATAATTGTGTAGTTCACAAGAACCTTGAGTAAATTTTATCTTTGGGACAGCTTGAGAGAGTAAAATTCATCTTTAAATGGAAAGCCTGTGGCTTCTGATATTCAGCTCAAGAGAGTAATATTCATCTCAAATGAAGAAGTAATGCTCAGCTTCTCCCTCGACAGCTTTGTTCATCTAGGAAGCCACTAGGGGCAAATTCTCATTTTTGATAACCTTTGTTGGAGGGCAAGACCAACCTCAATGGATGTCCTGTGTGCTTGCGAGAGAGTGATTCTCTCCTTACCATGTTTTTTGTGGGTGATGTGAAAGCTATGGGATTTGATTCTCTCATTATTATTTTTTTTGGTGGTTGGTCCATCTATGGCTTGTGATTTTTGCGCATGAAGTGGTATAGGGGCACATAAAGCTAGGAAGAAGTCTGTATTCTTCATTAAAATCGTTATATGATCTGGGTGATGTTAAAAGCTAAGGGTTTTTTATGGCATTATTTCCCGTTTTGCTAAAACTATAGATCATTGGTTTCCAACCATGAGTTTTTTATTTAATGGTCAACCTCTCAAAAGCCAATAGAATTTAGAGAACCTTAGAGCTATTTTGTTTTCTCTTTGTAACATGTAAAGTTCACCTTGCATGCCAGCACGACCCCCCTCAGTACCCTGTTTATAATTTCTTTTAACAAGAACATTTACCTTTCAAATATTTTTACGGTATTCTTAAGTTACCATAACAGCACAAAACAAAGAAGATTATGACACTAACCTGGTTCATCTCAGACACAAGTTGATTCAGAATCTTCAAACCAATGGTGTAATGGTCTGATGTTGCCTGAGTAATAACAAAAAAGTCAGAGAGCAATTTATGCTCACAAGTTTTCAAAACTACCACTAACAATTGAGAAATTAAGAAATAACTGCCTGGAAAGAAAGTGCTCATACATATATAAAGGAAAAATATCTGTTTGATGTCCACTGCAAAATTACTAATCCTAAAAATGTTTCAAATCAAAGTTTAATTCATAGAACAGCAAGTTTAACTTAACAATCCGGTAACCCACTCTTCTAAAGAAATTCCACTACCATGGAATTGCGATCATAACTCTCACACAACTTCCAAAAAATAAATAAACGCACATATATTTCTAGTTGTAACATTAAAAATTGACATGAGCAGCTTAAAGAAAAATAACATTTGAAAACACAGCAACTGCAGGGCAGGAAAAGATTAACAATTTCACATAAGCAAAAAAAGCAATCAAATGTTGTGATTATATGCAAAATGAAGCATGAAAATAACATCTATTCCCATATGGAAAAGAAGTTTGATATAATTGAAATCACCTGATGCGGGACAAAGTACAAAAACTCCTAAAGATTAGTATTTAATTCTTAAATTTTACAGGATAGACTAAATTCTATTGCTATCATCTTATTTTCCTTATTTATATTGGTTTCCTCATAGTTAGAAGTTTTTTCTTGAGTCCTTTATAGTTAGCAAGTTGTATTTATAGTTAAAAGGTAGGACATTTTGACAGTGGGGTCAATAAAGTACAAGAATAAATTTTGGATGACAATGAAGTAAATTTAGAAAAACTATAGACAGTGGGATCAATATTGACCTATTTATTATAATTAATGGGGTCAAAATTACAAAATTAAAAAATTAGATCTCATTTATTATAATTAATGGGATAAAAATTACCAATTTATCTTTTATAAAAATTACACATAACATATTTGTTCCCAAGATTAAATGCGTCAATCAACCCCTCGTCGGGATTTTTTTTTTTTTTTGAGATAAAACCCCTGGTTAGGAGTTATATTGAACTTTTCTGGTCTTCTTTTTTTTTTAAATAAGACGTATGATACGATTCATTAATTCACAAGCACTAAAGGGATGTCAACCACGAATAAAAAGTATTTATATGTCAATCAAAATATCGATGAGATCCACAAAATCCTCCATTATATAAAGAGAATGATTCTTAACCAAAAAACTCAGAGTTTGGAACTATCTATCCCGAACCAGTCATCGCCAACTGATATCTCATTTATTAGAAGTAGAATCCGTCTAGCCTATTTGTGCAGATTTCCGATCTTGTAGTTGGCCTCTTACTTTCCTACACAAATATTACTTCTAAGTTCCTATGGCATCCCAAAGGTAAAGATATAAGGCACTTGGCTCACTTGGCAAAAGTACTCCCTATATGGAGAAGATTTCCAGACTCTAGCCTGTCTACTAATACCGAAAAAGGAGAAAGATCTTTATCAAGCCGATAGATTAATACAAAAGGCAAAAATGGAAACATCAAATGGCAACCAGAACCCCATTGAACATGCCAGTAGGAGATGTTGAGAATGATGATGATTTCATTAAAAAAATAAAAACCTGTATATTGAAGCTTACCACCAATCAGTGGTTATTATATCTGAAAAAAGGGGCAGATCCTACCAACTCAAGACTTCATTTTTTCGTTTTAGAAGAAAAAGAAATACCTTTAAGACGCCAATATCTTGCAATCCAAAAACAAAAAATCTACAGAAAAAAATAAGGGCCAAAATGTCAACAAAGTTCCCAAATTATCATTGACCAGAATGGGATTCCCATTCATGAAAGTACTCAGGGAATGGAAACCAATAATGTCTAATCCCATCAAAGGATAGCAAATCCTCTTGAAAGTTCTCTTGACTCTTCCCAATGACCCACACTATGGACATAAGAATGAACTTCAATAATTTCCTCCTAAATTTATATTTCTTAGCACCCTAACAAATCATCATTTTTTCTAAAAGAACTCAGACACTTCCGATTGTCAAAGTGCATACAAAAGAGAGGCTTGTCAAGTAACTTAAGGAAGTCTAAAACACACCAGATTGGCCTGTATGCTAGAAAACATAGAGTTAAATCCCATCAAAGATGCAAGATGCAAGATTTTTCAAGAGAAATAAACAAGAAAAAACCCATGCAAAGATGCAAGATGAACTCAAGATAAAGTAGGATCACATAGAGGGAGTAAGTGCGAGTACCCCTAAGTGACACCCTTAAATAATTAAAAAGACAACTCAGATATGTAGAAGCCAGTATACATAAATGCAAACTCCTTCAATTTATCCAGAAGAACTTCTTTCCTTTTGCAATTTGGCTGTTATCTAAATTTATTAAAAAAAAAATACATTTTTCCTGAGATTTTGGCTCCTATTATTGTGCTCTTATTATCCTACATCTATAAAGATCGATTAAGATTAACCAGCTAACTGGTTTATGGGATGCTAGGTATCAATTGGGTGATGACAGGTTCAGTGAGGTAAGAGCCTGAGGAATAGGTGTAAGTTTGCTGATTTGATTCCACTTACCATAATGTGAACTGTGTGAAAAGAAATGAACAAGAGGGCTTTTGATGCAAAGATAATGTTAAGGGTTTTGATGCTCTTAAGAATAGATGATTTTGAACCCTCAGTTGTTTGTTGATGGGTCATCCTCCACAGCAAATGGAGGCCTTTAGAAACCTTTTGCTGTGATGACTGATTTGTGCATGTTTTTGTAAATAAGATTGCACCCCCTTGGTGCTCATAGTAATATACTTTCCACACTTGTTATTTCCAAAAAAAAAAAGATTAACCAATAAAGATCGATTGATTCTTCTGGAATTACAACCAGGAAATAGCAAGGAAATATCCATAAATTTTTTATTAAATCTTAAAATCAAATCCAAATGCTAATCTCCTTTTATAAGGCTAAGTTAGACAGAGGGGCAGAGAAGGGTAACCAAAAGAACACATTAGAATGATGGAACAGAATGAAACTATATGGAACAAGATGGGATGGAAACTGATACTTCACTTTCTTTAGGAAAGAGTGAAATGGAAATGAACATAAAATCCTTTTCTTGCTTGGATAGGGGAAAGACTGAAAAGTCTTTATTGTATAATTACTTTTTTTTCTTTTATAAAATGGACTAGCTTGGTATTAAGAAATTATCATGGGTAAAATGAAGAAAAGAGTTACTCCCATTTAGTTTACAGCCATTCTTCCCCAAATAGTCAAAGAAGAACTTTGGAATTTTGGAGGGAAACAAGGATAACAAGTTCTTCCTCATCCCTTTGCATTCCATTGCAAAAATCACTTTTGCTACCCCATCTAATTAATTAACTGAGACAAAAAAAGTGTTAAAAATGTGATGCTACTAATTGAGCTATCCTTTCCATCTGGTAACTTAATTTGTTGCTTAGGCCTAATTAGTTGCTACAAATAGCTAGAGGCTAATAACCCTTCAAAGAAAGCATAGTGTGTTGAGTTGCGCTTATATTCAGAGAAATTGTCGTTCACAATAGGACTCCATTAAAAGAAATTGTCTGGGCGAACTGTGACTATTGGCGGTCCACTAGGGTCAATGGTGGTTCTTACTATGGCACTATTATTTTAATTTTGAGTCTATCCTTCTTCTATATTGGGAAAAAAGAACTATTTGTAAATTCAGTTCTAGTAAGGAAAAGTTTTGCAAGTGACTCCACAGAATAGGCATGCTGAACCGCATTAAAAAAATTCTCTATGTTCTTTTCCTCTCTCACTTATGTTAATCTGTATGTTTTGTGCTGTATTTTCTTTGCATATAGAAATTTTAGAAATTCAACCCCACATTAAAAAAATGAAACAATTAAATAAATTACTTCAAGATCTTCCAACTTTATAGATTATCAACAATAGCAACAAATAAAAAAGCATCTTTAAGAGTCTGCATTACTTAAATGACTACAATAAAAAATGTTAAATGCGACATTAATTAATTGAATGGACCGTTTCCATTTCAAAACTTAATTTGT